CATCTAATCGGCGAGAGACGCGAGTGTTCTGTATCATGTTGAGTTAAGGTCGCCGTTTGGTTGCTAGCGATACAACGACATCGTGGCCTTGCTGGTGTAAACGTTACTGTCGTTTGGTCGTGGATGGGCCTAGCAGACTACTAGAAAGAGCAGTGGAACGCGGCATTCCGTTGCCGTCTGGAATGGGGTGCATCGGTTGGCGAGACCGAAGTGTGTTATGACATGGTGGAGATTGCTGGCGGTACCTGCGCGCCCTTACATGCAAAACACTCTTGGCAAGGAGCATTGTCCACCTCAAGACGGGTAACATTTAACCACACCTTGGAGCGCTTCTCTCCGCCAAACTCCTGAATTAAGTGGCAGGGAGGCGGGATCAAAACCTGTTTTGTCTATTTTAACGGAGCTGGATTTTTTTTTTTTATGAATGACTCGCGATCTACCAGCATTGCCCCCGCGGTCGACGTACTGGGCACCTCTGCCTTAGACCCTCACACGTGTTCCTTCACATGTGCATTTTAGTCAGTCTGTTTAAACCAGCACAACCTACAGTTAAGGAGTGAACTGTGTAATTACATTTAGTTAATTATAAATTTTAGTCATCAAATTCCTCAGTGCGTTGGCTCTTTGGTAGAGCGCTTTTAATGTAAAAAATGTAATCATTATTGATGTCACACTTTTTTTAAAGAGTCTGTTCCCAAAAAAATAACTTAAGTTTTGTAATACATTAAAATATTGAACAATTAGAGCTTCGCTAGGCATAAATAAAAAATGTCTTAATCATTTGAAAGTCCAACCTATAGTGAGTATTTGTTAAATTCTGGCCCTTTGACACATGTAGATGATGACCCCTGCTCTACAGAAAAGTAATACATTCAAATAAAATGTAATAAAAAGGCAAACACAGATGAAGAGAGGTATCAAAATGATTTTATTTGACACAAGTTAGACACCTTTACTTGTTCAGTGGTATTAATATTGGTCCATTCTCTGCATGTATCATAATGTGCTGGACTCTGACCATTTTATCAGATAACCTTTGGACAAAGCATTACTTGGTTAAATGAATTTTCATTTACAAGGTTGACAACCTTGTATGTTGTTGTTTTTGTTTGTATGTTGTTTTTATGTTTCATGTGGAACTAAATGATGCAGGTCTCCCTTGTAAATGAGATCGAAGATCTCAAGGGACCAATCTGTCTAAATAAAGGTTTGAAATGAAATGAAATGACAAAGTGCAGGTGATGGCGTTAGCTTGCTTACGAAACAGTGGCACTGGTTTCGATTCAACAAGTGGTCATTTCTGTTTATTTTATGTAGGGCTGGGCAAGTTAACGTGTTGTTATTATCGCATGATTCATTAAAAAAAAAAATTCCGCGCATTAACAGTTTTCTTTTTATTGCTATTATTATTTTGAAAGTCCGTTGCTCACTGGCTCTGAATACATACAGACAAACCATGGGTCCCAAGAGGGGTGGGATGCTGATCAGTATTGGCTTAGGATGGGCGTCATCACGTGTCTCAACCAATGAGAGCATTTGGAGCGGGCCTTAGACTGCTGCAGCGCTCACATGAACCCGATCATGGTGAAAATGGAGAAAGGTAGCGAACTCTTACATGGACATTTTAAATCTTATCCAGACGGCGGAGTTGATAGAGCCAGAGTTATTTGTAACCACTGAAAGTTGAATTGTATTACCACTGGACTCTGAGGGTAACTTGTTTCTCTAAAACAAACTAGATAAAACGTTAATGCCCTGGCATTGGCAAATAACTTTGGTTTTATATTGGATTTGTTTACATTAATTCATGTTGCAGTTGAGATTTACAAAAAAATACTACTTTTGAATTCATTATCGAATTTTGCGCATAACAATGTGATGAATCGCAGAAAACCAGTACTAATTTGATGTTCTTGGTTTGCGATATATAACGAAGTTTACCTCAGTTGTGTATTAAACTCCCGGTCTATTCTTTATGTTTTACTTCATATATCCATCTGTCAACACTGACCGTTCAGAGCCTGTGACGCATGGATCCTTGCTGTCAGCTGGTGGGGCTGCTCCTGGTAGTTGTGTGGTACAACCAGCGGCCTGGCCAGCAGAGTGCCTTGGTAGAACAGAGCTGAAGAGAAAAGACCACAACATTTTTTTATTTTATCAAATGGACAAAAATATGGAAATCTAACCACAGCATAAACTGTAGACCAATAAATCATGATACACAGCTATAAAGTATTTCATTTACTGCATTTCAGCTCAGCACACAACACATCTTTTAAGATAAAAACAACTATTATAACATAATTAACTGTTCTGTCCATTTACTAGAATAATGAAAAACGAACAAAAATTAGTAAGTCATGTACATCTATGTTAAATAAATTATTATATTAACCTAATTTTGTTCTGACTTCCACACAATTTTTCACCCAGTCACTCTAGCAGCATTAAAACTGATTTAGGGTCAAAACGATATAGTTCTAAAATGTTTGCTTTAAGTTTCTGAAATAATGTTTGTCAATGTGTTTCCATTAGAGATAGGTTCAAATAAAAATAAACACAGAACGTGGTAAAAAGGAAACTGGCTTCCAAAAAAAAAATGTTTCACACTTGGTAATAAGACAGTCAACGGAGGGCGGTGGCGAGCAGTCTTAACCTCAGATGAACTTTTAGTTATGTAGAATAAGTAATATACTCAAAGCTTTTCTGTTTATCTTATATATGCCGAATTGAAAACAGAGTCGTGTTATCTTATCAAAGGTTTGTCGGAAAGTTTTACCTTGTATGTAAGTGGATCAATAAGCGTGTTAACTTATAGTTAGTACAACTTTAAGTAGGGTTTGGCGTGCAGGTCTGCGTAATAACGTCATGGACATCTGATGTCATCATGGTCTTCAATTCCCCCTCAGTGCACAATACTGTTTAAGACATTGTCATAGCCAATAACTGGCGCTAACCAGAGATGTGAAGAAGAATACACTTAACATTACAATAAAGGCGTGCTTTGTAACTTATGGCTTGACTTGAAAGTAACAATATTAGCCAGACATGGTGCGTTCGTACCATAGGTTCGTACATAGCTACTGTTCGACCTCCCGTCTGTCAAATCGCCCTGCTATCAGACTACTACACTATAGTAAGCATATATGTTTAAAAAAGGATAGACACAGTGAAAACAGACAGAAGTACTCACGTTTGACTCCTCTGCGAAACACAGAACTCAACCTGACAATAGCCGCCATGATGATGAACCAACCAAGGTCACCACAGTTACCCGGATGTAGTTGTTGATTCGCCAGGAAAAGATGTTAGAGGACTGAGGTGATCATGGACACGTCCTTTTTTTCAGAAGATCATGCAGCACTGGGGCCCCTCATTCAAATCAAACTTAGTCTTTAGGCCCTAAAGTTTGATTATGTAAACCCTAAAATGTAGGGTTTACATAATCCCAAAAGTCTCACATGATATAATGGTTTAAAGGGGTATAAATACAGTCCGCTCTGTGCAAAACTACAAAATTAGTTTTATGTTTGAAATCCTGTCAAGCACAAAAAACAAAACAAGTTCAAATAATGATCAAAAAGAAAGTGAAATAAATGTAATTATTCACCGACTTAATTTCTACAATGTGTTTTTTAATATTGGATTCTGTTTGGTTTTATAAATGCATTCATTTATAATATCGAATCAAATCAAAGTTTTTTTATATAGCCCAATATCACAACACACGTCCGTCTCAGTGGACTTTACCAAAACAAACAACAACATTGTAAACAATAAAATTACTGGAAAATAATGAAATGACAAGATAGAGTGTAAAATACAAATATAAAAAAGTGAATTAAGATACAACAGAAAAGACAATAAAAATACAATAAAACAATACAATCAAATATAGTAAGTCATAATACAATTTCTCCTGTAAATACATTCATTAAATCCTACCTAGAAGTGTATTCATCCATGCTTTACCTCAAAGGTGTTGTCTGACATGGACTGAGCATCACAACACTTTTGAGTTGACACTTTTTATCTCCAACTTTGATACAATATATATCGAGTATACAGCAAGTGAGCACCCATTGGAAAAATATAAATGATTCAAATAAAGTAATGACAAATATTCTAAATTCTAAAGATTGCTTGTGAGATATGTACAGGGGCGGTCCTGGGGAGGTTAACAGGGGCCAGTGCCCCCCTAACCCTGACCTGTAGCCCCTCTCCAAGTGGCAGGTTCACAATATTACGATTTATTTGCTATAGTGCTAACTCAGCATTCTAGTCTGACCCCTTAGAGCGGTACACTTTAAGTTTAGTAACTTCAAGTTACTAAAACAAATACTGTAAATAAAAAATATAGCTACTGAAATAATGTCTTTACTGAAACAAAGAACTTTAACTTGAAGTTACTGAAATAGATAACTGTATAGAATCAAATACAAATTACTGTATTTTATGTTCATTTTATGCAATTACTTTATACTGTCTTTGTCTTTTTAACTCGCATTTATTGTGCCCCTCTCATAAAATAACTGGCCCCAGCCTGGCCACCCCAGTATAATTGGTCTAATTTGTAAAGATTTGACCCGAATGAAAAATCTGTGAAGGAGTAGGTTGATTTCATATCAAACCTTTATTTATCCAGATTGTCCCTTGAGATCATAGATCTCTTTTTCAAGGGAAGGTTGATTGAGAAAATGCTTCTGGTCACAGTTTCTTTCCTCAGAGGCGGATCCTGTTCGTTATAAAACATCTTTGCATGCGTCACTTCCTGCAGATTTTTCACGCAGATTTACAAATGACTCAGAGGGTTATGGCTAGAAAGGATCCGTCTAGTGTAAATATGACGTCACGTTCTCGTTGTAACTCTCGTTGTAATCGGAGCGGCTCGGAAATACATCTACAGCAGTAACATGATGCAACATACACATTAATGCAGCAGCAATATTAATGGAGAAACATCAGACATAATAGTAAAACACTGAAAGGGAACATTGTTATTGCACCAGGAGCTATCTTGGGACTTTTAGTGCGACAACGTTGACTTGCCTGTGAATGCAAAAATAAACCAGTCTTGGTGATCTACAGTGTTGTCATTCTTCTTTGAACAGCAAGACCGCTAACACCCTATTTCAACAATCACACTCCCTGTAATTGATATAATGAATAGATAGTTCAGCTTCTCACGATCATTCGCTCTCGCCCACTGATGTTAACGATCATTCGTAACTGAAAGGCTGCCTGCCAAACGTAAACAACATTCGCCACGTGACTTGCAAACTCTCGCGAGAGTTTAACACAAAACGGATCCTTTCTTGCCATAACCAGGATGGCTGTTATTTTCCTAATCTGAAAAGCGACCCCAAAGGTAAACTACGCTCTACACTCTCTCAGCATCCACGTAGGAACAATATAGCGTCTGTAACATCTTTAGCAGTCTTGATATAAGTTAACTAAACAGAATAATGTGCCTTTCTTAAGATGAGTTTTACTTGCTATAACTTACACGTCGTTTTAAGAGAAGTTGTAATGTTTCGCCACTGACAGACTTCCCTGTAAAAGAAAGCAAATTATAATGAAGTTCTGAACGGTGATTACGTGGCTTTAGCTGCGTCATAAAGGGCACATTTCTGCAGTTTTAACACATTTGAATTAACAATAAAAGTAGAGTACATGTGTCTATTTGCTAGTGTTGGGAGTGTAAGAAGCTAACAGTGTGTTGTGCCATATTATGACACGTAAAGCTGTTGCGGAAGTTGTTTCGGTTCCAGAATTAGCTTTATTCGACATGTATGTTAACAGATGCCAGGAATTAGATTTTAGGGATTGCTTTTAGTCAATTATACACATCACATCTAGGAACCAGGACAACCCCGCTGAACAAATACATGTTCATCATTATAACAAATAGGAGTAAGCTATACAAATTCTCAGAATAAATGACCAATAACCAACAATACAAATATATCGTCTATATACACGTTTCTGATTGTTGTAAACTTTGTACTCGATGGATATACAGCACATTTACTGTATGTTGATGTGTAGATGTATACAGGATTTATATGGAAAGTGATGGACAATAAATAATGTTCCATTAAAAAAAAATATTTTCTTGTAGCTAGTTTATGTATTGTATAGCAACACATTAGTTTTAAAGTCATGCAAACAAAGTCTATTATAAAATTAGTTTCACAGTGGTGCCAATGATGGGAATACATAGAATTTAAATTAGACTTTTTGAGTTCTTTTTTTTAAGTCGTTAGGAGATTGTGACACATTGCAATGAAGTTACAAATCCCCTGTGTGTCTGTTTCTTGTTGAAGGCAAAGGTCAGTAAAACAAAGGGGCCTCTCTTCACATTTGTGTGTTTCTTAACAATAGGAAAATGGTAAACCTAAGGCACATTTGGAAAAGTTTGTTAATGACAACAACTATTTAGACACAATAAAGAATGTTGCCATCCTGTGCAATAAACCTGCAATGTGCAATATAAACTCTATCTGCAATTCTACGGCGCTATAATCACTTTAATGTAGACATACTTTTTTGTAAATGTGCCAACTTATATTCATTTGAGGTCACAGTACTTCACTGAGTTTACTGAAATAACTGCTACTCATTTCTAGCTATGGTTGTGTACTTATGTGTCTTATATATGTCATTAATGTCAACATTTAAACATTTCACATTGCGCTTTTGAATCTTTGTTTTGACATTTTATAGACAAAACCTAGTTAACAACACATTTTAAGAATCTACACAAACAAATAATGAAAACAATGGTGGATTACAGCTCTGTCAACATCATTAGCCAATTTACACATGAGGGATAAGTAGGGGAATATGTTTGAATACTTAAGTAATAGCATATTGCTATTGATGAAAACATTTGATACTTGTACATCAGTTATGAACCCCCTCCTCTCCCCCTCCTGTCATCTGTCTGCTGCCCTACATTTAGTCGTGTCTCAATGCCATTGTTTGCTGCGGGCTATTGTTCTGCCAACTTTCTTAAAACAGCTGACATGGCAGTTTCAAATCAAATACAGATACAGAAGCCTGAATAGGCACAGAAAGAGGTTATTCTCATTACCCTTTTTTCACATTGGTGTTGTTATGTCTGTCACATTAAGGCCGTTTTATTTCATTTGTTTACCTGCACAGCAAGGCTAAATAGCAATTTAAACTAATCACTTTTAGTCACACATTGTTTTTTCAATTCAAGCCTACCTTTCTGTCGTGTCCTCTTCCATGGTCTCCATAACAATTTGCAACATATTTGCTTGACTTCCTCCTGAATTGCCTTGGCCTATAAAGGATTTTCCAGTTTTGGTATAGCATGACTGCCAGAGAGTCCCTCCATGTTTGATGGCCCAGAGAGCTGTGGTCAAGCCCAGAAACTGTGTGGCCGATCAGTTTGCGTGTGTTCATGCCAAGCGTGTTTTGAATAGCCTGTCCGAGCCTTTCAGAAACTGCTGGTCTGGCTGTCATGTGCAGTGCAAGTGGGGAAGTATGAATTCGGTATGACAGGATGGTGTGAATGTGCTTGTGAAATTGCGTGAGATAGAGGAAGCATTGGCGGGTGACTGAATATACCAGGACTCTCTCATAGCTATATTTTACGTCCCGAGCTTAAAGAACAAAGAACTAGAGCGCTGTCATCTGAAATGACAGCTTAGCAGCTCGTCTGTAAAAACGTTTGTAGCTACATCTAACAAAATGTAGCCTTACACCTACAGACAGATAGGTGAAGTGGCCGTAGCCTTGTGAGGCAGCCTCAGCTTTCTTGGGAATGGAGGGGACAGGTTTCTCAGGTGGGAATGGAGGTACAGTTTCTTGAGACTGTTCCTGAGTTCCAGTGGTGGGAAAAGTCTTTGTAGCGGTGTCGTATGGCAGAAAGGAGGTCAAGGAAACGCAGCCTGGTGGGGAGGGGACATCTGCATCCTTCACTGTGGGTAAGACGACGTCAGATGTGTAATGTAGACTTCGGGCAGATGTGACTCAGTCAGCAGGGGTGATTCATTGTGTTGGTGTGCGTCACTTTCTATGTTTTCAGAACTCAATTTGTAATTCTAAAGCTCAGTTGAGTCTGAGAAATCTAGTCCATTGTGATTACCTTGGTTGCTGAGTTGTTTCAACAATACTTCAATTGATTCCTCTCACATTGTGTGTTTTAGCTCTTTTTAAGAATATATTGCAAAATCACAATATTACAGTGAATGAATTACTACCAGGTAATAACACTCTATGCTGTTCTATCGTTAAAGAAGCACTATCTAGATATGACAAGAGCTCCTTCAGGTAAAATATTTGTTTCTAAATCCAACAGAAGACACTTTGACGCGCCTTCAATGTTGATGCAGGGCCAACTATGCCACATGGGAAGTTTTCAGTAGCCTATGGCATGTTTGACTTCTTGGGTTCCTACTTGAGCTACTTGTTCCTAGTCATGTTCTGGCCTGTTGAGGCAAAAGGGGTAGATAATGGAAGGAATTGTGTTTTCCCTTTTTTTTGATGAGCTAACTTTGAAAATGAGCCAGAATGCAAGTCCTCTTGTCTCGTATTCGTGTGACGACGTGTACGTGTGGCTTAATGAGTGATGTGTTTATGTACATTGAATCAGAACTCCAGCTTATGAAACTTTTCACTTATCACTCCAGGTTAAGATGATGACAACAGTAGTTCCCGTTATCTTAAAGTGACTAACCTGTAGATAAGTGTCTTTGATAGATCTCATCTTCTCTCGGAGCTTTTAAACTTTAACCTATTTGTCACCATCAAGATCCGGTTCTAAAGGTCAATATTGTTTAGCCACAACATTACAAACATCTTTCTCGCAATCATTCAAGGGACATTCTTCTGTTGGAGCAACTTGGTGGAAAGGTTTGAAATGACTTCAACTCTTTTGATATTTAAGTAGCTTTTCAACTCTGTTTGATGTCAGGCGATTGTGCCATATTAAGTATTTGAACAGTTACTGTCACCTGCTTTATGTATTGCTTAATTGTCAGACCTTTGGAATGAGAAGTTATAATCCCATGAAAGCAGCTTACTCTAAACAAATGACATTGTTGCTTGCTGACAATGTAAGAAAAAGTGAAGGATGAAACCGCAGACGGCTGAAAACACTGAACGAAGACACTTTTCGTTCCTCAACTGTTCTCACTTCTTGTTTTTGTGCGTGTTTCCAGTCCCAAACCATGAATATTGTGGGCCAGTTTGCGGAGACGGTGTTTGTGACGGTGAAGGAGCTGTACCGCGGCCTGAACCCCGCCACTCTGACGGGGGGGATCGATGTCATTGTGGTGCGACAGCCTGATGGATCCTTCCAGTGTTCCCCCTTTCACGTCCGCTTCGGCAAACTGGGTGTGCTGCGCTCCAAGGAGAAAATTGTAAGTGTCAGTAATTACGTTCACTGCCACTGCCGTCCTAGCTCAAAGGTTCAAGAACCAAAGGTTTTATTGTCATATGCACATAAGCTACTGTAGAAATGGCAATGAAAATAGTGCAAGAAGTCAATATACATGTAAATATGATATATAAAGCTCTAAAGCTTGGACAAAAACCACTTAAGCTTGGACAAAAACCACTCACCTGCTGAATATGAAAAACTGCACTTGAAATGTTTCAAATGCACGGAACACAAATCACAAGACATTGAAAAGGATATTGACCCTGAAAATAATTTCTACAATAACATCCATAACCAATGTGAATACTACACAGAAGATCAGCTCAAAAGAAATGGAATAATGGATGGATCAATATCAATATTACATTTTAATAGCAGAAGCCTCATTTCAAATGTATCAAAGATCAAACACTGTTTAAGGCAACTGGAGAAACAAGTTACAGCCCTAGCAATATCAGAAACCTGGCTTAGTGAGGAGCAAGCTGACATGGTTGAAATTGAGGGATACAACATGTTTTTTACTAATAGGACACATTCTAAAGGTGGGGGGACTGCACTTTATATTAACAAAAGTTACAAAAGCAGATCTGTCAGTAATAAGTCTTTTGCTATAGACAACATTATGGAATGCATAACAGTAGAAATTGAAATGAAAACATCTAAAAACCTTCTGATAAGCTGCGTGTATAGAAAACCAGGATCATGTATTGACACATTTGAGAAAAAGCTA